TGCATTCTTTTTTATCTGTTAGATCTTTTTATAAAATATATGACTACACTAGCACAGGATGCTATGAATTAATCTTATATCCAGAAATAAATGGAAGCCCAGTACCTACTCTTCTTTGATATTGAACATAGTCTTCACCGAAGAAACTTAACAAAGTCATTTCTTCAATCAGAACACGATCATGGAAAAAACTCCATGACATCAGTGCGTATGCAAAGAGGCATAGTGGATTTTGAAGTATTAACTGGAATAAAAATTTATGAATGTTAATTAAAAATTAAGTAATAAAAGTATAGAACGAAATTGTAAAAAGTATAGAGCCTAATTATAAAAAATTTATGATATCTCACCTGCGTTCCTATGGACCAATAAAACCATCCTACATAACTAGGATGTCTACAAAAATTATATACACCATGTGTAACAAGCTCATGATTGTTCCTTTTTTCATTTTGCACAACATGGTTAAAATTGTGTCTTGCAGTACACATTGCTAATTTTCTTAAAATTTCACCAGAAATACATAACATTAGACCAAAATAACACACGAAGGAAGGTCTTTTCATTAAGTTGAAGTAATGCCTCTCTATAATAAACTCCATCCAACTGAGACATGCTGCTATCCCATATGCTATGCTATGATTAAGGATGAAACTGTCGATCGACAATGCAGCTGGATTTGACCAGGCAATAGCTAAAAATTCCGTATAATGAAAACTCGCTAATACTGTTGTATAAATGCCAAACACCTGCCATGATGGTGGAGCATTGATTGATACTAAAATACCAATTCCAAAGATATATCCAAGAAATAATGCTCTGATTGCAACCTGTAAAAAACATAATAGCATATAAAATTTTATGTATTATAATACATAATATAACATGATAATGAGACAACTTACTTGATAAGCAAAACCACGAAATGCCAGCAATGCAGACATATTTATAAGTATGTACTGTACCGCATGTAAAAGCCAAATATTTGTAAAATATGCGACATAAATATCGAATCCTAACCTGAATTGCAGTTCAGGGAAAAGGGAGATTAAACCTGCTATAATAAAACAGAATAAACTGAGAGCTCCTTCGCGACACATTTTCCTCATGAAAACCTCTCGACACTTTTGAAATGATAAACGATAGTCACGATTGGTCACGATAAACAACGTGACAACATATCCAATCAACTCTCCAGCGAATTCTCAACTATTTATAATAATTCATGGCTCATACGTTTTTTTTTTTTATAATAGAAATCTTGCTTTATATTGGCAGTAATATATTGCTTAACACTGTCAAATAGGAAGAATTAAAAGTCAAAGTTTTTAAAATATAAGAGCAAGGCAATCAAAATTATTAAACAAAAAGTCCTTACGTCAAACTTCTCTTTCTCTTTGTTTTGTCGATCACTGCACTCTGCACTGCAGTTGACTGCAGTGCCGTCACATGGTCGATACTAGTCAGTGATCAATGACTACCTTTACGATTTACGCTAAAGTCACAAAATCGATGTTATAAAACTGGCCAATCACAGTCATTCCTTTCTTCAGAGGAATTAGCTGTGGTTGGCTAGTTTTCATAACATTGATTTTATAATTTTGGCGTAAATCGAGCTATATAAATGTAATCTACGTCCCTGCAGGCAGTCACCGACGAAGTATTATTAGACTGCCAAAGAAAATTTTTTTGTTCATCAAAAAGACCTGGGAAAGCCCAATCACAATTAAAGGGCGTTGATATTATCAATTGTTTTGGCTACAAATACGATATAAGAAATGAATTAAAATGTCATTATATTTTCGACATTTCTAATTTGACATTAAAAAGGATCGTACTTGATCATTAAAAAAAATATACACATAAGAAATATTTTCTTTTCAAAATATTCAAGTTGAATGACTCACCGTGAAACAATACTTTATTTTAAGTATTTATGTAATATCAATTAAGAAATAAGATAAACTATATATTTTTTATATGTATATATATTTGCGTTTTTATAATATATTATAAAGTCCATAAAAATTATTAAATATATTTTACTTCTTATAATTATATAATTTGTACTAACATAGAACAATATGTATCAAAGAATAACATAATATTTAAGCAGGTACATAAAGTAATTACCTAATCGTTTGACATAAATTTATTACTTACTACATTTAGAAGTATGGTGATATCAACATGGTTTAGATATTGATAACACATAAGAGTTTACAAGAACATAAATATCTTTCCATGCAAAATAATTTTAAATTTTGTAAAAAAAAATAAAATTAAAATTCTTTATACAAAACAAATTAAAGTTTCTTATCCAAAATAAAATATTGTCAATAATATAATAAAATTTTATCTTTTTTTATAACCTTTTTTATAAACATGATTTCAGCGTAATTGGAGGGAAAGTTTTCTTTATGCTTATAACTTTAGCTTTCTTGAAATCCATAAAATAAAACAAATTAAACAAATCTTTCCTCGTATTTTTAAAACCATAATTATACAACAATCTTATACAATATTTCACATCCTCGAATCTGTTTTCCATTTCGGCTATTTTCAAGATACCACTAAATTTATTGGAACAAAAATGTTAATTTCTTATGTTATCCAATTAAAAACATTATTATTACTTACCTGTCTTTCAGAACCCTATTGGCTTCTATTATATAATCGTTAAGATTAGATCCTATTAAAGAGAGACAAAATACAACGTGTATGCTGTTTGTTTGTAATGGAGTAGAAGCCATATCACAAGCTTTCACTCTATCATTCAGAGCAATGAAATGTACCACATGAGGAACAGAAGCAGCGAGTCGTGCTTCACCACATCCAAAATCAGCAATTATGTTGTCTGTTGGTCTACAATTATTAAGACATTATAATATTTAGGCTCATGTAAATTTTGTTTAGCAATAAAGCATAATATACAAACAATTCTAATCGATGATATTATAACATCCAATGGATTCATTGTCCATTGTTCAAGTTGCCATTTACATCTGATAAGCCTTAAAATCATCAAGATTCCATTTAAAATAATGCTTAGATTGCGAACTGTCATTATTGCATAATACCTCTTTATAATTTTAAATCTAGTTGCTTTTAACTGTGTTGTCATTTTATCTTTAAAAGCATTATTTCTGCATTATTTCCGACTTTCTAGCAAGCATTTCTTCTAATTGTTTAATTTTTCTCATGTGTTTGTTCAACTTTAACAACTCATCTTTATTTTTTATATATGCACTTCTTTAGCTGACATTCGTTTCATTTTTTTTTCAATTATCTTTTTAAGTTTCTCAATTTTTGTCATTTTATGCTCAAAATTAATTGATTCTTTTACACCTCTTTCTAGTTTCTTGTTTCTTTCATCGACTCTTACAGCGACTCTTACATTTTTATTTGCGTGTTTAAGATTCATCTCCAGCTTCGTTTTTTATTTTTTTTCTTGTTTTCTGATTTATTACTAGTGTTAATTGATAGTTCTTGAAATATCTTTGATGTTTTTTCATCCTTTAAATATAATATGTTGTTAAAAAATCTGATTTCTTCATATCATTCATACCAAATTTATTTTTCATTTTATTATCTATATTATTCTTCATTAGAGCATCTGATTCTTTTGTATCTTTTACATTAGATTTATTCCCAGAATGCTTTTTCTTCTTTTTGTTCTTTTGCTTGCTTGTAAGTATATTTTTATCTATTTCATTAGATTTACTTGATTTCTTTGAATCATGTATGCCATTTAACAATTTTTTTCATTTCTTTTTCTGTGTTTCTAAAACAAAAAATTAAAAAAAATCATAATAATAATATAATTAATATGTATATAATTTTGTTAATTTAATAACAATAAATATTAATAAAACAAAAATGTCATGCTCCTGTTTTAATAAATTATTATGTGTTTTATAAATATTGTTACTGAGTTTTAATAAAATTGTTTGGAAATTACGTACATTAAGGAACATCATCCAATAATTTGACTTTGACATATTATATGTTATTAAAGTCATGATCCTAAGTATATATAACTTTACCTTAACAACCTCTGATAGTTTCTGAAATATTTAAAGAATAATTTTAGTAGAAAATTTTGATCTAAACTCTGATGATCTCAATCTTGACATGAACATGACCTTGACAATATATCAAAGTTGAAATCATGGGAGTTCGTTCTCCAAGATAAAAATTTTATTAAAATTAAATCTAAAAGCACATTCAATTTACTGACTCAATCCGACTCCGATTTAATAATCTGTTCTGTTTAGGTGTAAAAGAAGAGTTTAACTGTGCAAGGAATGCAGCTGAAAAGAGTAAACCATTATCCATTGACTCAAAGCAGAGTCGAATTAGTAAATCAAATTTGCTATGAATGTCTTAAAAACTATAATAAGATTATTATCTAGTTGCTAAGGCTAAGTTACTCGCAATTAGAATCATGACCTTGACATACGTCAAGATCAAGACATAGTATCCTTTAATATGTATACATAATTATAGATTATTTTCAATTAGAATACTATTAGCTATATAGTTAGCTATTGATACATCATTATTTCGGTGTATCATAAATTGGAAAGTAAAATGGCGAAAATAAAGATAGGAAATCGAGTATATACGGAGAGAGTGATGGAATCATTGATGAAGCTTCTAGAAAGCGTACATTAGAATCGCGAACGTAAGAGGCATTTACTTCTTCAAAATATTTTTTTCCACCATTCTAATTTATGCTCCTGTTACTCTTCTTACATTTGTGTGTAGATTATATTCGAATTATAATTTTTTTCAGGGAAATGAGGGAACGAAAGGGCTTATACATATTACATATGATATTTAAGAAACCAAACGGACAAAAAAAAATATATATACATATATAAATCGATTACCTTAATGACATATGTGCTAATATTTTTATAGCGGCTTCTTGATCCTGTGCAGTTTCTCTTTAATTTAATCATTGTTTTATCAAATTAAAAATATCCTAATCACTTAACGTAATCAATCCATGAAACGATCGTTGACGATCATTCAAAACTCGTTCCAATTTCCAACAGTTCCAACTCAGGCTGGTCAAAGTCTTACTACAAATGTTTTGAAGCATTTGATGACCAATTAGAAGAAAGAACTTTATAAACTGGACCAATTAAAAAAATGCTTCAAAACGTTTGCAGCATCGCATTGAACCTTCAGTCCCATTTCGATGGGCGTTCAAAAACTCTATCCTCGGCGACCATGCCGGTCTTTTTACTATTAGGATTATTCCATACAATTTGCATAGCCGCATAATCATATGCATACAAAAAATTATCCAATCACATTTCTGTCATAAAGAGAATGGTAAAATACGATTGGATGATTTTCTTTATTTTCTACATATGTTTATGCGACTATGCAAATTGTGTAGAATGACCCTTATGGTCGCAGCACAGACTTTCGCATAATGCACAATACATAGTGCATAAAGAAATCAACCAATCGAAATCTTTCTTTTTTAGAGAATAGGAGGAAAGGAAAGATTTTGATTAGTTGTTTCGCTTATGCATTGTGCGTTATGCGTTATGCAAAAATCTGAGCTGCGACCTTTACTATTGAAACCGCTTATACACTACCGCCAGTACATCTATTTTCAGTTTGGAAACTATGTGACTACATACATTTTCTGACACTATCGATAAAATCATATCGTGGATAATAGATGTGTTCGTCTCTGTACTAAATCCTCAGGATAGAAACGTGCGACTATTTTTCACTGTGCCCTGAACGACAAGATACTATTAAAAATCCTCGGCCCTAGGCAAATTTTCGTGACTATATATTATATAAAAGCTGTATAAATAAAAACGCATATTTTTAATGATATATTATCTTTTATATTTTGCCGAAAAATTAAAATTTTTCCTCTGCAGTTACCTCTATTGATAATTAAACTCGGATGATATCATTAAAATCACAGTTTTAAATAAAAATCGTATTATTAAATTTTAAATACATATATATATATATATATACATATATTTACAAAACTAATAAATTCTATCATTAATACCGTATTACTAATTTATTATTCTTTCACTTAATCACTTAAATTTTAACAGGCACACGAATTTCCAAGCGCCGAACCATCTTTAACAGCATCTTGTCGATGCCTGATTTGATAATCATGAATTTTGCATGGTTTATCTTTTCTCTTTTTCTTTTCAATATGAAGAGAAAAGGAAGAAAGATAAATCGTGTAAGAACTTTAGCTAAAAAGAACAGATTTAATATTTCGTCGATGACATATCATGCTACTATATATTTTTCTCCAATTTTTTTAAGAATTGCAGAATACAGATGTTTTTGTAATGATGTCAATAGAGCACAATTTTAATGGTATTATATTAATGACATATGTTGCTGTAACGTATGTATATTATATACAACGTA